AAAAAAGAAAAGAGGAGGATGGTGAGGCAAAGCTTTCAAGAAGCTGAGAGTTCTCTTTAACTGAGCCAGTAATGAAAAGGCAACAAAACCAACAGCTTTTGTGTCATTCACCAGTTTCCAAGAAAACAATATGGCAGTGTCTCCTGGTTGGACGGATACAAACAGCAGAACCAGAAACTTGTTATCTGAAGCAGTTTGGATACTTAAAAACAGAGGTATCCTATCCCCCATTTCTATGACCTGCCTGCTACCTAAGCCTGTTGCTTCCATCTATATCTGGATGGACTTGGGTCCTAAAGTACCAGGAAGATCTTAGGCTCTGTCAGACCCTTCATTTGCCTTGTCTGATGATAATGGTTTGAGGAGCGAGAGTTACTCCCAGCACAAGCAGAAACCCATCAGGCTCTCCTATGAGAAACAAAATGTGGGAATGTTCTTGTGTGGCAACAGTGCCATTAGGGATTTTAATGTCTGAAGAGGCTGCAAGTGTGATCGCAGGTCATTCAGCTGCTGACCTCTTTTGGAAACAGGAGCCAGACTATGGGGGAAGGAAAACGGTAAGAGGCAGGATGGGAAGTATGGAGAACCTAACCCAGGACATGAAAAAAAGGGACAAGACCTCAGTGGAGATGGCCACAGACACCTCAGGCCCATCTTTATCTTGCCCTAGTTGGTGGATTTTGTCTTCATTGCACAGAGAGGTAGGAAAGCCCAAGGACAGGCACTGCAGAGGATGCAGGCAAGGCCAGTTCTGGAGAATTATCAATATTCAAACCAAGACACAGAGAAGAACTTCAAGAAGAACTGTTAGGGGTGATATTCTTCCTGAGTTTCTCCTCCCCATTAGAAGTTCTAACTGCTTTTCATTCTCTTATCTAAAATTTGACTACAGTGCAGTGCACATGTAAAGGAAGGTAATTTGTTAACTACCTCTGCACAAGGAAACAAAAATAAACTCTATCCATCCTAAAATGGATAAATGCCCTCACTATATCTACAGAAATCTCATCCTTGTACTTTGAGCTTTCTGGATAATATCACCGCAGTCTCACTTAGGCTTTGACCTCTGCAAAATGTACTTGTAAACAACTCTCTCGGTTACTACACATACCTGCAGTGACGGACCAGGCAAGGAGGATGCCGCAGTCTTAAATGCCTCTCTCCCCACCATCCCCCAGGAATTCAATCTAGGTTCTGCCTAGATCAGCCTCATAATCAGACCTCCATCTTACCCCTAATAAAAGTTTCAGTGCATGGCCACAAATGAAAAATAGTGCAGTTTAGAGGAAACCTGATTGTTTATTAGTAGCTACCCAGGCATCAGGAAGTCTTAAAAAAAACCAAACCAAAACAAAAAAAGCCCACACCAATAATAAGTATTCTGAAGTGCTTGACACATCTCGTCTCCATTCTAGAACAACTGTTTTGATTGGTTTCAAAGGGTAGGATCTACACAGGATAGGATCTCCTCAGGATAGGTATAAAGTCAGCTGGACAAGTGAATTGGAAGTGCAGGTGACTTTTTCAGATAACAACCTTTAAAAGGAAAACTAGGTATATCTTTAATGCCATGACTCAAAGTTTAACAGCCTGCTTTAACATTGACTACTCATACATACAACCTTTTCAGCTTTAGGAAAGTGATTCTAGATGTATCCCCAGAGCAGAAGGTAAAGCACTCAAGCACAAGTGATTCAGCCAAAAGGACAAGCAGAACAAGTGAGAAGAGGCACCTGGAATTGTTTCTCAGCATTAGCACTTAATCCAGCTACTGCTATATTGCTACAGCCCAACTTGGGGACCGTGTATCTAAAAAAATATGTACACACATGGTGCACGGCAGTATTGACACAACGGAACACCGAGTCTGCCATGCAATGGATTGGGGGCTTTAAACCTTTTCATTCACCTGTGCAGTGAATTTGTGTTGCCTGACAAGAGATTGGCTCCTGTCAGTCACCTTTCCCATGCACCCCCATAGTCCGTGGACCGTAACCAATCTGTCGTAACTCAGTCCCATCACTCTCCATCCTGTCAGCAGCAGGGTACATTGCACTTGGGTCACAGATCAGCAGGGACCATCTCTCAGAAAGCAAAGCAGCAATGTGGCCTGGCTCTGACTCCAGCAATTAATCCATGATTACCATGAAGTGGATTCTTTTTAAGTTGTGCAATTCCAACCCCTTTGAGAAGTTTATTCAAAATAACTCCTTTTGAAAACTGTGAATGGCCCTGTCTCCACCTGGCCGTGGCACAGCATCATCCACAGCTTTGGTAGAAGGGAGGGAGCCTAATGCAGGACTCTGGTGGCCTGGGAAAAGGTCTCTGTACCTACCACAGCTTAAAACCTGGTGTAAAAGTGCAAGCACGAGACTAGATAGCCTCTTCGGTGTGCAGCAAATAGGGTTACAACTGTTCCCTTTTCATAGTAACACAACTTGATTTGTTTTTTTTTTCCACTAGCCTTGCTAAACCACCCTGCCCACTTCCTATGGATGGGCTGTCAGAGAGTTAATTTTCTCATTACATCTGATGGAAATGCAAAGTGTACTGAGGTATCTGACTAGTGAGACTGGCTGAAGGCAAGGTTATTTTCCATTTGGTTTCTATGGACAGGCTGATTGATGATTGGAGACCACCAAATCACTTTATTACCCTGGATCATATGCATCCTTTTCAAAACCTTGTACCCCACAATGGACCCTCAATGCCAACTCTGAAATGCTCCAGAAAACCAGTCCCAAGACAGAAATACAAATGCTCAAGGTGCTTTTCTCCACATAGGCAACCGCCTCTCCAAGTTTCAACTTTTTGACAGTTTCATCCCTAAACTGCTGCTTCTCCTGCACTTTGATGGTTGATGTAGATGATGATGATGTTTTCAAGGCAAGGAAACCGAACAACCCTTTTCCCAGACTAGGCTGCAAACAGCCCTTCTCTGTCTGACAGCAGCAAACCAGAAAAATTAAAACAAGGATACCGACAGCACTCACCAAGCCCATTGCATTAGCCAAAGTAAATGCCATTCAGCACCGCTTTGGAAAGGAATCCAGGAGAGGAAAGCAGCTCCTTCCAGGCTGTGTCAGTTCAGTACGAACTAACAAGCTCAATAGTCTTCTCTATTCTGCCAAGTGGTCTTTAACTTTATCAAGACAGAGGTTGGAGATGTCTGAGAGGAGCTGTAAAACCTTTGCCTTTCTGAAACTCAAAAGTACTTCACATTCCTCTAATTCCTTTTAGGTGAAAGATGAGGAACAAATGGCAGAACACCAGCCTTCAATAATCTAGCAGGCAAACATCTCTCAGCCTCACATTTTGGAAATTATTCTACAAAAAGATTTACATTTTACATGCCAGAAGCATGGGTGGCTTCTTGAAAACCCACTTAGGTGGGCATGTGGTCTAGGAAAGCAATATGACATGCTAGGTGAAGCCATCTGCTGCGCATACCTGTAAGGACATTTGTTTTAAATAATCTCTGTCTGTCAAGCTCCCATGCATGGGCTGGTGCTGCAGAATGATCTTGGAGCTTTCCTAGGGCACTCCAAGCTCAAAACATGCATTATCTCATTCGCCACCAACCTACTCTGGGCCTCCTGCTTGGTGGCAAGGGCGTATCTTCTGCCATCTTGGAACCAATGCTGTTCTCTGCCTTGCCCACCTCTGCCTGCTCTAAAAAAGCCCTGGTAAATTGCTGAGGACAAGGTTGTGCAGGAGAATGGAGCACACGGCCAGTGAGGGGTAGCCTTGCCCCTAACACAATGAAAGGGTTGGTGCTCAGCTCAGCCGCTCTGCCTGGACAGGTGCTCATTTCTTCTGTAGAGAGGCAAGAAGGACACCCTAAGGAGGGTCTAGGGTGAAAATGCACATGGGGTCCAGAGATCCTAACACCTGGCTACCGAGCTCACGGCCTGGCCAAGGCTGAGGGATTTTGCTCTGTTGTGTACTTCTCACTCCTCGTACTGCCCTGACAGAGGAACCCCTCTTTTTCGGCTGGGATTTCTCCCTTCATCCAGAAGATGGCATAATTCGCTTAGTCTTGAGTTGCTCTGGATGTGCTTGTCCCCTTTGTCTCATCTCACCTCAACCCAGAGCTAACAGGAGCAGGAAGCACTCCTCCACCCTGTCCCAACCTCCCAGGTTGGGCTTGGCCATGCTGAGCAGGAAAGGAAATTAACAGGGAAAAACAGTGGATAGCCAATGTGTCCTGGACTCTTGACTGCCCGGGCCTCTGGCTGTTCGTATTGCTCTGGTAAACAGAGGCCAACCCACTGCTGTCTTTGGACTTCTCATCCCCATGGATGTGCCAGGCTCCCATCAGTAGGAGTGCTTTCACAGTGTCAAGACACTGCTTAGGAAATAGAATTGGCCAGGGTGGGTTGCTATGACCTTTTGCAGAAACAGAATTAATTAAGGAAGAAATTAGGCTATTTAGTACAAAATTCAACTATTGATTTCCTGATATTTCCATAAAAATGAAGCCAAATCAAAAACCAACAAAAATATACAAGCCGGGAACATTACTGGGCTTTGCTTGCAAGTCAAAACAGTACAACTGTGATGTCGTTAGGAACCACAGCCACCCATCTCTATTTTCTCTCTCCTTAGGTAAGTTGGGCTGTTCTGTCTATATGGTCATCAGTTTTTCCTGGAAACAGTTCAGTGTATAGATTTAGGAATCCTAGGTACCCGTTCAAAAAGGCAGGTAAACATCAATGGTGAACTAAAAGGGAGAACGAGCTGCTGAATCATACTGCCATGGACAGTGGTGGTTAGCTAGCTGTCGGCTTGTAAAAGGGCAAAATGCAGAGCAAGCCAGTGATTGCATTTGGTGTGCGTATTTATGGGCATAGAGACAGCCAGTCCCTAGAAGCTGTGCCTCAGCCAAAGAACAAGAATAAGCAGTGTTTCGTACATTACACATCAAACACATCAATGCACCTCTCACCTGAAGAAAAAAACATACTTCAAGCCATCAGCTTTAAAATTCAAAAACTTCAGAGGAAGAGACATCCCTTTTAGGAAACAGAGCTTACCTCATTGCAACATTGCTGCCATCAATCACAATGGGTCTTAAGTGACCGGTAGAATCACTGTCATCTTCTCCAAGCCACTTCGACCCTGGTGAAGTGCTACATGATCCACGGGCAACAAGTTTTAGCGGGGAAGGTTGAGCTTGGCTCTCCAGAGCTTGAGGTTTGCTCCCCATCCGAATAAGCTCTTTCAGCACATCATCCTCCAGGGCCTCTTGGCCCAGGTTCTCCAGCACTTTGCAGATGTCTTGCTTACCATAGCCCAGCTTGCAGAAAAAATCCAGCTTGCTCTGGTGCACTTCCACTCCTGCCGTAGAAACTTTTTTGGAGCGTGGTGGCACTGGCTTGCCAGAAAGTGAACTGGCCAGTGCCATCTTAGCAGGCATTTATATTCCTTTAAACCCAGTGCTCCTGTCTTCCCAGCCTCATCCAACAGGCATCAGCTTTAGGTGAGGAAAAGATTAGAAACAACAAAACGCAAGCGTTAGGGAAGAACGTGCAATCATCTCAGTTATTTGCCTAGTAGTGCACAGCAAAGAGACTATCTGATCAGCTGTCTTCTCTCTGAAGAGACTGTCCGGTCTTCTCTGAATATTTCAGCATTTTTCTGGTCCCCTCTTTTTTATAAAAGCACCGGTGTGTCCCATGTGATGTTTGTCACTCTCCAGGCGTTATGTCAGAGAGGTGTCATCCTACTTCATGAGCTATGCAAGCCTGTCTCTACACAGACACGCTCTACGCGTAAGTTTGTTCTTCAGATTTATCTCACAGGAAATGATATAAAGGATGGTGTAACCGGGGATTTTCAATTTGCTCAGTGTGGTTTGTGAGCCACAGATAGAAAATCTGTCAAATGTTGTTGGATGAGCTCAGATGCCATAGCAACTCAACAAGTATAGCAAATTTCAAGTGATTTTAAGGAAACATGTTGTTCACAAAGTAGCTGGGAACTCCGAACTTTTTTCTATATTTTGTCTTTCCTAGTATGTGTCTGTGTATACACAGACATACCTTATGAAATTCTGTCACTCATCTGTTCCGATGATGCCTGACTTTTACTCTTTTCCTGTTATTTGCTATTTCAGTGAGGGCTTTTATATTCAGAGAAGAGGCTTGTTTTTTGAAAGCTGCTGCGGCAGTGGTTGGAAGCAAGCAATCTTAAAAGCGGTTTCAATTTCGCTTGGATATTTTTTGTCAAGAGAAACTGGTAATTCAGAAATGAGTGTGCAAAAGTAGCAGAAAGCTACTTCAGACTTCTCCAGAACTGCACTGTTTACATTTCTGGTCTACCCAGCAGCTGAAGGTGATGGGCAGCACACATAGGCATACCCAGAGCTGCTTCAGCCCAACAAGTGTGACAAGAGCAGGACATGCACGGTGACTACTCATCCATCAAGCCAAACATCTGAGGTCACTGTTGGCATGCTCGCACCAAAACTTCTCTTGTCATATCTCTGCAATTATTGGTGCCACCTGGATAAAAGCTGTGCCTGGTTCATCTACCCACATGCAGGATGTAAGGGCAGCCCTCTTCCCTTCACTAATTGTGGCCAGCAAATGATGCAGAATTAACTGACCCAACAACTACCTCTATGATGAGCCCAGAGCCATAACCACATTGCACCCACCGATTCCCCTTCCCAGCCTGCCCTGCACGCCGCCGGCCCACTACCTGCTCCCTGCCCAGCAGTGGGCCACCCCAGGAGCTCAGAAGCCAAAACCATCTAGAGAAAGGCACAGAGAGGCTGGAGATGATGGGAGAGGAGCCTGAGTGCAGCTCCTCCCCAAGGCATTAAGGACTCCTCGGGCTATGGAGAAGAAATCCGCATTGGGTTCAGT